TAGCAAAACAATCATCCATATGTAAATGTAGCAACTGAACCGGCTAGGGTACGTTAGACATAACTAGCTGCAAAGATCGATACTTATATAAACTTTTCAGTAACTGTAGTTTTTAGTGAATACAAATATCTTAAAAGGAAAAGATGGTAGTCGTTTGATAAAAAACTTACTTTTTTATCTAGTTTGATTTAGCATACAAGCTGTTGGGACTAATTAATGTTAAAAGTTACTACGTACATATTTTCCAAAGATGCTGCTCAGTAGCATCTCAAAGAGATCTATAATTTTTGTAAGAACTCTTAAAATGTCATGCTTAAACATTTAACTAGAAACTTTTGGTAACTTTTTAAATAGTGCAAAAGTTAGAAGGTACGGACTTATGTCTACAGGCTACCAAAGATACAGTTAATTCATAAGAATGTCGATGGATAGCATTAGATAGAGTAACATTAGGTCATTAACTATCAATACTAGACTTAAGAATTATTGCTAACATTGCATGTCTTAAATAGTTAATTGCGATAGTTTCTTCACATGAATTGAATTTCCTATATTTGTTCTATTTATCTAGTGCAAGTCTGCAGCACTTGTGCACTTCTTATAGTATGGGAAATACTTGCATATTTGTGTCGTAGAAATTAGCTAGCGTGATTGACTTTTAAGTTTGTGGATTTCTGTAAATATAACTATGTAGAGTGCTGTTCGAGTCAGGCGGCCTGACCGGACAGTCCCGTGCGGACTTCCCCGTTTAGGGTCTTTCTGGTGGAATTTGTTGATAAACGTTTTTTACCATGTTCCTCATCAAGTCTAGTTTATTCATACCAAATTTCAGCTCAAAATTCGATCAGGAAGGCAGTCAAATAAATTCTTGAAACATACTGCTCTTTATATATGCGCAGAATGACCAGTATGTTTCAAGAATTTATTTGACTGCTTTCCCGATCGAATTTTGAGCTGAAATTTGGTATGGATAAACTAGACTTGATGAGGAACATGCTCAAAAAAAATCACCAAAAATTTATACTGAAAAGACCCCCAAACGGGGAAGTCCACACGGGGTTGTCCGGTCAGGCCGCCTGACTCGAACAACACTCAAGCTATGTACGGAGTATATATGGTATATGGACTATGGAGTAGGTCGTTTTAAAGTGGTAGAAACGGATAAATAAGAGAAAATAACATAAAAATATATAACTTTAATCATTAGCATACAATGAGAATCTTCAGATAACAGGACTTTAATATTTACCAAAACATACTCGTATTAACCTTGATAAACCTTTACTAAATTCAAATCATGAAGGCTGGCTACAATGAGAATCTTCAGATCTTTTTGTTATAATCCTTTTGAATCTGTGTCCCTATGCCTTCAATGTTCACATTAAAATCTCCGCGTTCAGAAACAATTATAAATCGATGAACATATATTTCCGGCCAGTTAAAAATAATTACATATATTTCATTAAAATAAAATTGTTTATAAACATATGACTAATAACTGGAGTCATATAAAAGTATAGTTATATTATTCAAATTTGGAGAAAAGGGTCGAATACGACCTTATAGTATTATGAAATCATGTATCCAATAAAGTTTCATATAAATACATCTACTTATAAAAAGCAATCAAATGAGTCAAAATGACCTTTTGACAACCTCGTAATCCCAATTTTAGCATACCAAGAAACTACATTGTAGTAACTATCAATTATATTTATGTAAATAAGTTTTATTTTACTGCGTAGTAATATTTTCTAGAGGATAAAACCTACAGAGTAATATTTTACCACATAAAGCTTTGACGACTGAAGTCAACCAAGAGCTCATTTTATGATCTATATTTTAGCTATCAAATTTTCCGAGTCAACATTTTTACAAAAATGTACATATCAAATTATGTTTTAAACAAAATAAAGAAGGTTGAATTTACGTATTTCCTTATTTTAAACAAAACAAACTAAATTAATTAAAATTACTATAGAACACCATTTTACTTATTTCGTATTTCCTCTGTCCCTGAATTATCTCCGAACTTTTCTTTTTCGTCCGTCCCAAAATTATCTTCACTTTTCCTTTTTGGTAAATAATTTGTAATTCACAACCATTCTTACACATTTCTCTCTTCTCTGCACAATTCTCCACCACACAAATCTCACTATCTTAATCTTTGTGCCGGTTCAAATGAGGAGATAAAAGAGCGACAGAGGGAGTATAACTTTTCTTTAATCTATTATTAAAATATAATTCAAATATAATTGTCTCACAATTCATAACATTTGGAGTTCAAAAAAAAAATTCACAACATTTGATTCACCACTTCAACCAACATTTTATCTAGGGATGGACTCGGGCCGGGCCAACCGGCCCGGAACCGGACCGGCCCGCTACTGTGCGGGCCCGGACCGGCCCGGTCAACCGGTTCGGTTCCGGTTCGGGCCTCCAGGCCCGGTGGTATACCGGTCCGGGCCCGGGCCTCCAGTTTAGTGAACCGGCCCGGCCCGGCCGGGCCCGGTTCGGGCCGGAATTTAATTTTTTTTTTTTTTTTTGAAATTTTTTTAAGTTTTGGGTTGGATTAGGTATTTTGGGCCATTTGAGGTGGTTTGGGGTGGTTTGGGGTGGAGGGGGAGGGGGTTAAATAAGAGAAGAAGAAGAAAAAAAAAAAACATTCCGGGTGGCCCGGCCCGGCCCGGCCCGGTTCTGGCCCGGAACCGGAACCGGAACCGCCCACCACCGGTTCGGGCCCGGGCCTCCTTTTTCTGAACCGAGGCCCGGCCGGGCCCAGGCCCGAACCGGGCCCGAACCGGAACCGGTCCACCCCTAATTTTATCACTCACGAAATTGAGCTGATTTGGTAAATTTTAGAATTATCAAACATGCCCAAATGTATGTGCTGCTACTCTGCTAGGGGTGGTTCAGTACGTCCCGAAAAGGTTGGCCACCCCTATGTGCTACTATTTAGTACTCTCTCTGTCCCGAAAAGGTTGGCCAAAGGTGACTTTCACATGAATTAATAAAGTAAAAATTGTGTGATTGAAATTTGTGCTGAGGAGAGAGAATTAACTTTAGTCACATGTTTCTTACTTTAAATGGAAATGACAAATCTTTTTGGAACATCCAAAAAAGGAAATCTGGCCAACCTTTTCAGGACGGAGAGGGAGTATTACCGAACATGCCCAAATGTGTGTTGCTTTCAAATTCAGAGTACTCTAGTTTTTTTCTTGATTTTTTTACCCTAAAAGGGACTTAATTATTACTGAAATTCCTAAATAAGATTGTGTATATTTTTTTCCCTAAATAGGACTTAATTACCCATTTAACCCTATTCTTTCTCTTTCTCTACCCCACGCGTGTCTCCTTCCCTGCGCATCTTCTTTCTCTTCCTCTCTCCCTGCGGCATTTCTTCTCCCCCAACACAACTTCTTTTCTCTTCCATACAGAGTCCCTTCTCCTGCAAATCTTCTCCTCCTTCCCCTTCGCACAACAACAACCAAACTTAGAAGTCCGGTCCTAGCTAGCAATCGCAGTCGCTAAGCGAAGTCCGCCGCCGCTGAGCGAAGTCCGCCGCCGCTGAGCGAAGTCCGCCGCCTTCGCTGCCTTAGGTCTTCTTCTCTTCTTCGAAGGTCAGGTTCTCTTCTCTAATGGTTATCCCTCTTCTCTTGTTCTCTCTTCCCGTGTAATATTTCGTTGCACATCTCTTTTTCTTCTTTGATTGGTAGAAAATGCCAAGTTGAACTCCGAAAATGCCATCAAAATGGCATTCATATTCTATAAAAAAATTGTATTTTTCTTTGAAAATGCCATTACAATGGCATACTCGATTCATTTTGGCATTTTGATAAAAATGTTGGCATTCGTGCCAGCAAAGGCTAGATCTACAATGATAGAGGCCTTATTTGCAGTTGCAGTTGCCGGATTAGATGTTAGAGTGGTCGGATCTACGAGGGCAGCACCTGGATACCGGCGGAGCATAAATCTGACTAGATCTCCGGCGGCGTCCGCAAAATCTGCAGCGATAACAACCGGATCTACATTGGCGACAGTCAGATCTGCAACGGCGACTGGTTTTGAAGTGGCGGAGACTTCCGGCGACCGGCGGTGACCGGCGGCGACCGGCGGCCGGAGGTGGTCTGGTGTTCTGTTCGGTGGCAGTGTGTTTTCAAGCTTCAAGGGTGTTTTTGTCGAATTACAAATAATAGCTCCTGTTTAGAGAATTTTCAAACTTTAGTCCTATTTTGGCAATTAATTATATATTTACTCCCATTTAGGTAAATACCTCTTTTTTCTTTAACCAATTAATAAACATGATTTAAAAGAGCGGTCGTCTCCCTAGCAATTACGGTTGTTGACTTGGAGGTGCGCAGCTTTGCGATCACTCTTCACCCACCCACCCACCCACAACCCAACCCAAATTTCCCGTGTATAATGTGCATTAGCCAATCACAAAGGGGTATGGACATATAATCAGCATAATATTGGATCAACAATAAAAAAACTACGTACAACGCAGACCAACCATATCGTAAAATATCACCCCAGGGGACAGGGAGGCCATTCAATTTATCCACAAAAAGCGTTTTATCAAACCAACTGTAAAGTTAATAAAGATTAGCTAAAAGTGCCTATTGACATCTAGCTTTATTTAGTCAAAAAGAAACTTTTGTTGTGGGAGTTTACAAAAAACTGTGGTTTTCATCCTGCTAAACCTTTTCCAGTGAAAGTTCCATTGCTACAGATTTTTGTGCACCCCACACTCTAGACAAAAAAGTGGTGTAAATGGCTCCTCCAATTGAGTTACAACCAGGTGGACAAAGTTAAATGGTTAATATTTCTTATTTTTTCAATTAAAAGAAAAGGGATAAAACACCTAGACATTAGTAGACATTAAAAGGAAGATGCCTACAAAAACAGAACTCTCAATTGTTGGGGTGGAAACTTCCTACTTGATCAGAAAAATATATGGTCAACACCTACCATAGAAAGTTGTCAAGTGCAATGTGGTCTCTGTCACAAACTCACAATGTGTACCAAAAAATCAAGATTGGTGAACTATACTGAACACAATTAATTCGAGAGGTAATTTCTAAAACTAAACTCCGATAATAGGTATATAGTAAAAAAAATATAGCTTAATGCAAAGTTCCTTTGAGGAAAAGGAAACCATCCCAATGACAAAATCAAGTAGGAAAAAATTAATAAGAACCAAGGATTAGAAACATAAAATATAAAGTAGATCTTTCAGAAGTTGCAAATGCTTGAAATTAAGCCTAGCACTAGAAAGCACAATTTCAACCTGGCAGCAAGCTAAAACAAGGCTTTCTTCAAAGTTTCACAAGGTTCAATGACTTCATTGCTCATTATCAGGTTTGGCAGCTTCTTTGATCTCATCTCCTCCATCATCCTAAGTAGATGATACCACATGTGTTATAATCAATAGAACCCTTTGCAAGGCATACATGCTTAGATAAATAATGTCTAGTCTGGAAAATAGTCAACAAGAAACAAAAGAATCAATTACCTGCATGTCTGATGTCCACAGGGTGAGATTATCCCGAAGAAGCTGCATAATCAGAGTGCTGTCCTTATAGGACTCCTCTCCTAAAGTGTCAAGCTCTGCAATTGCTTCATCAAAGGCCTGCACATCATCAAAGCAGCAACTGAAAAACACTCCAAAGGCACCATGAGCTATCAATGAACAGAATTTTAGAAAATGATAACTGACTCTCAATGCATTACTGCTTGTAGAAATGAATTTACAAAGAGCAAAAGGGGTCCTAGGTACTTACCTGCTTGGCAAGATTACAAGCACGGTCTGGAGAATTCAAGATCTCATAGTAAAATACTGAGAAGTTGAGAGCTAGGCCAAGACGAATGGGATGTGTAGGAGCTAGTTCCGCATTGGCAATTTCCTGTCCAAAAAGCCTATTACTTACGGGATTCAAGTTTCAAATTGACATTGTAATTTGAAAAGATTAAGAACACAAAATTTTAAACTTCCATACATAAACCAAATGTTGATTAAAAAAAATGAATGTTTGCTCTGACAGAAAAGAACCTGGGCAGACTTGTAAGCGGAGAGTGTGTTCTCGGCGGCCTCTTTTCTCTCGGCTCCGGTCTTGAACTCAGCCAAGTAGCGGTGGTAGTCACCCTTCATCTTCAAATAGAAGACCTTTGAATCACCGGATGAAGCAGCGCCGATGAGCTTAGAGTCGAGGAGCTTGAGAATGCCGTTACAGATCGAGGTAAGCTCTGACTCGATCTTAGATCTGTAGTCCTTAATTGAGGCAACGTGGTCTTCGTTTCCGCGGCCCTCCTCCTTTTGCTCAATTGACGAGATGATACGCCACGAAGCACGGCGAGCGCCGATCACATTCTTATAGGCAACGGACAAAAGGTTGCGCTCCTCCACGGTCAACTCCTCGGCGCCGTCCGCGGCCGCTACCACCTTCTCCATGAACTCCACCATCTCTTCGTACCGTTCAGCTTGCTCTGCAAGCTTCGCCATGTACACGTTCTCCTCACGTGCAGTCGCCATTGATGCCTGTCTTTGTCTGTGAGAGAAAGCTATTGAAGAGAGAGAAAGTTCAGAATCGGTTTCTAGGATTTCCCCTTGTTTACAACTCCATTTTCATTTTAGAAAGACACGCGAGCCGTTAGAAATTTGGACTGCCAAGGCCCATTAGAGATGTTGGTATCTTAGCCCACGACACGGTCGGTTTCATACTATCCTCAGTTCTGTTTTATACTTTTACTAGTCTTTCACCCGTGCGTTGCACGGGATTATGAATTGTGAAATTATTTATAAATCAATTGAGTTTTCCTAGTCAATTAATTAAATTAGAATTTATATTCTTAACTATGTGGAAGTGTACGCAGCATCAACTAATTTGTAGATTATATTTTGATATGTATTAGTATAGTAGTCCTACAAAAAATCAACATGTATAAGAAGTGATGAGTTTACTATTGCAATTCTTGCAACTTATCATCTCGGATATAGGGACTTAATAGACTTATCAATCACAAGTTAATAAAGATGAAAATACTAAAACAATCAAAAGAGATTTTTGTAATATAGCCACAATTTATATCCAACATAAATATATTTCATCAAGGTGAGATTTGTACAACTTAAAATTGATCTCATAACTCCTGAAAAAGTTGACGATTCTAGTGATAATCTCATCCTCTCCCGAAGCTGCAAGAAGTGTACCTGAAAAGAAAAACTGATACATTAGTTGAATGAAGTAATTAAAGAGCTATATCAAATTCATAATGATCTCATAGAACTATAGAAGTAAAACTAAAAGAATACAAAAACAATACTGATAAATGATACAAAGTATGTGAAATGAAATATAAGCGTGCTTCAATAAAGATTGTTGATAATAATTGAAAAAAATGAAATTGTTAATTAAGAGTGTTGGGAAATAATATACAAAGCCTTGAAGTACCTATTAATTAATAAACCCTTATTAGATAATTTAATGAAAGAAGAGTTACAATGAAATGAAAAATAATATTACGAATAACATTAGTCAAGAAATTAATTTATAGACTACAGTCAAAGAAACATACCTTATTATGAGAAGCATGATTAATTTAGTCCAAATTTCTAAAAACCTCCTTATAAACAACATTGGTTGTTGAGTTTGTAGAACGGCCATCTTTATCACATATTAGGATCTTCAAACCTTCACGCTTTGTCACTCTAGAGACTCCAACATATAATTGTCCATGTGTAAAAACTGGGTTTTGCAAGAAAATTCCAACTCTAGAAAGCGACTGTCCTTGACTTTTATTAATAGTCATCGCATATGAAACACAAAGTGGGAACTGCCGTCTCTTAAAGTTAAATGGTAGACTCAAATCTGATGGCGTCAATGTCATTCTTGGAATCAAGAATTTTTTCCCTTGATTAAAGCCATTCAAAATTGATGCTTCTATAACATGATCAGCAAGTCTTGTGACCATTAACCTTGTACCATTGCAAAGACCGGATGAGTGATCAATATTTCTCATCAGCATAACAGGAACACCAACCTTTAGCTTCAATTCATGATTGGGAACTCCTGAGCACTTAATTCCATTTAAAAATTCTGGAGTATGTAGCTCACTAAGTAATTGATCATCAGAATCTGACTGACAAATTCCATCAGAACTAAGATAAGTGCGCACACCAGATTGATCTTTCGAAACCATGTAATCATTAATCATTTCAACCATAGAAAGTGTAGGCGCCAGTATTGCCCTTCCATCTAAGTATGGTGCATCTCCAAAATGTGAAGTAAAATCAGGATATATACTATCTACTATAGATGCAACAGGGTCAGTGGAGCTATTTATTAGAAGATCTTCAGGAATTTCAACAATTCCATGTCCTTCATTATCTTCACCAAGTATGCCATCCCCAAGGCTTAAAATCCACTCAGCAAAAGTTTGCAATTCAATGCACGAACGGTCACCAGATTGATCTTGTAATTTCATGTTCTTTGTCAATTTCAAGACCTTATATATATATATAACATAAGGAAAAAATTTGATAAGATGAAAAGGATTTAAAAAACAAAACAAAACTGTATAAACGACGTGGAACATAAGAGAGATAAAGAAGATTATAAAATAAAATAAAAAATTAGAGAAAATTGTGTTAATTGCTACGCATATAAATATGCTTAAGGTCATCTTAAACATCATTAATTAATAATTAATGATTAATAATCGTTAACATTTTAAAGTTACTTATGAAGAAAAGTAATGCGTGACATCAGACATCTCAGCTGATTTACTTGCAATAGCTCTGCAATTGCCACATCAGACATCTCAGCTGATTTAAGCTCTTTCTTAATGTCATCAATAGGAATATTTTCTAACTGTTTCCCCAAAATTAAAGTTTAATAGAGATCAGAAAAATTAACATTCAGAAGCATAATTTAGAAAAAACAATGCAATTTTCACAACCATATCTTCTCAGCAGTTCAGTAGATGAAAAGAGATCATTGCCTCATTTGTAGTACAATAACAGTTTAGCAACAATGAAAGAGTAATGTCACAGAAGACTAATCTATGCATGAATTACTGCTAAACTAATCACAGATCTCGAAACTATGTTCTACTTCCTGTTGTACTATCAACTTATCAAACATAAACCTCAGTTTTCTACCTTCTGGTGCAAAGTAAACCTATCAACTATCACTAAGAAACTTCAACATTAAAAATATGAGTAAACCTGTAGAAAGTAAAAATAACTATAGAATCTAATGTAGCTTTTGTTTACATACACCACCAACCTGCAAGTTCTCCACCTAAGTAAACTAAAAAATAAAATGGCAAACAGAAAAACCATTTCAAATCCATGGAAGACCCTCACATTGATGTTAGTCACTGACTCACTGGGTAGACCAAGGAACTATTTATTATCCAAAAAAATATATGCATATTTTGTTGTGTATAATCCAAGTTGTGCATAAACTATTGCAATTGTAACTTCCAGCATCGTATCTAACATTAAGTAATAAAAAACCAAACCAACTACAGAACATCCTCTCTGGACAAAATACATGAACAATTGTGCAGTAATTAAATGTCTACTGAAGAGACTATTGCGCAGTAATTAATTGTCTACTGAAGAGACTATTATTTAAATGGTAAAGATACTGTCTTTAACTTCCACCTCAAATGCCCATCTCCAAAGACTTATGGTTTTTCAACCTTAATAGTCTTCTGCAGTTTGCTAGTGGAGTTTCCACATAATCTGACAAACGTCGCTTCGAAATTGGGGTAGTAGTCATGGTATCATCAATAGTCTGAAATGCAATGATAACATAAATTATTTGTATGTATTTCATTCTTAATATTTAAATATGGTCATGAATAGTCCATAGATATGAAATTAATTAAATATTATGAATGCTACGTTTCAGTTTTTAAATGGAAAGATGGTGATATGTTCACAAATGTCAAAATGAAACTTATACAATATTCAACTCAAAATGCATTACTTAAATTATTTATAGTGTTACTCACACTTGATGAAGTCGTTCCTGGCTGACTGAAAAAAATTTCCAAATCATCATCAGAGTCCAGTTCCTAGAGAATTCAATTTGGGAAAAAAATGTTAGGCATTAAAAGTGAAAAGGTTTACATGAACAAAATTAAATACAAATCGATTCATTCACATACCACTGGTTGTTCATCATTTGCTCTTACCAGAAAATGGTTCATAAGCTCATCATTTTGTGTGAGACAGTTCACGGAGAAAACCTAGCTTGTCACTTTTTTTTAAATCTTCCTCGCTTATATCAACCCTAAACAAAAGATGCAGACCCACTAAATCGTCAATTTCTTTTGACGTCGCTGTCTCATGAATGCCACTCTGAGATATCAAAAACATAAAATTTATTATTTATTTAAATACATATTTAACATACTTTTATTAGAGAATTATTTAAGACAATTATTACTCTTTATCATACCAGATTCAATTGTTCTCTGAGTTGTCCAGCAGTTTTGTGCAACAACTGACGACACTCGTGATCCCACAGACACAACGTAACCGAGCCTGAAGAATCCTTCACGATAACATTAATCTTATATCCCATCAGTGTGTCCTTTGTGTCACGCTAGCAATGACTCTATGAGGCACTTGTTCTTTCAGTGTGTGGTTGTTACTAAAGTTTGGCAGTACTTCTTTACTATCTTTGGTATTTATCAAAGACCTGGGATGGATTATAGCAAATTCTGTTATTGGAGATCTGAGAGACCTGCCAGGACACTTTTGGATGTTTTCAAGCAAAATATTCCAGGCATTATTTGTTGGATAATTTGGAAGAATTATGCTGGGCTCATTTGGGGACCAGGGGGTAAGGTTCCTGATTCAGCAAATATCATTATTCAAATAAAGCTATATACTCAAAATTGGGTTGCAAGTATATCTACAACTAAGCTCAGATCGGTAGGTCATATTTTAATTGAAGAAGGTCTTATTCCTAAGAATTTCAAAATCAATGGTTTCAAGCCTCAAATTATAAGATGGAATAAGCCAAATACAGGTTGGAAGTTAAATATTGATGCGAGTTACTCACCGAATAAGGCTGCCGGAGGTGCGATATTACGAGATAGGAACGGCAATCTCATTCTGGCTCTTAGCTTTCCTTTAATCGCTGGTTCCTCTCTTGATGCTGAGCTACGGGCTATTTTCTTTGCTGTTCGATGGGTTGCAGAGGCTGGCTTCACTGATGTTGTGGTAGAGACCGACTCTTTGCTAGCTTTGAGATATCTGGAACGGAATGAAGGAAGAAGATGGAAGGTTGAGCTTCAGGAAATGTTACAGATTCGAATTAGGCAACATCTTCAGTTCGGGCATATCAACCGTGAAGGCAACTGGGCCGCTCATCATCTAGCCCAAGTCCGGCCTGATACGCCAATTACCTATACCAGGCCTGATCTGCTTCCGATTTTTGTTAAAAGAGCTTTTTGGATGGATTATTTTGGTATCCCTTCTCTTAGAATGTGATTTTTGTTCTGATTAGTCAGGTTTGGTTTGGTCCCCCTGATTGCTGTAAACTGGTTTTCTTAAAAAAAAAATATTTCTTTTGCAAAAAAAAAAAAAAAAAAAAAAATTAATCTTATATCGATGTATTCCCTGGTCGAACACTTGATGGCATTTAGTACACTTAAACTTGTCGCTGTGATTAGAGGCCTTTTTAGAGCAAGCCTCTTTCACACACCCTTGATAGGACCAAGTTCTTCGATTGAGAATATTTGTGATTTTCCCAAAAAACCAGCACCGAGACCTCTACATAATGTTGACAATATAAATATGTTTTAAATGAAGTATATAGTAATCGCAAAACATGAGTAAATTTAAAATTCAAATAGCTTAACCTTAGAAATTGAAAGCAGTTCACCCACTGGCTTAACTAATGCAGGATCTATAAAAAACCCGGTGGAGTTTGCGGATGACAAAGACTGGGAGCTGGCTACCAACCTTAAAGGTAAATAGTTAGATATCAAGAAGTAACTAACAATGAGTGTATAATAAAAGTATATAGATTTAGATTCAAATGTTTATAATATATGAAACTGATTTCTACATGTCATTTTCCTTTTTAATATTCTAAGTATTGGTATATTTTTGACAGTAATCTAGATCGTATAATCATTTTAATTACAAACTGACTTTATGAATGCAATTAGTACTACCAATCAATATTAAATCAAATTAAGGGAAGAAGCATCTTACTTGGTACGGAACTCCTCAATTTCAAAGATACTCTCATCTACTATAACCTTTGTACAGTAAAAGGAGCTTGCAAGAACGACTGCACCTATTACATTAAATGTGTTATCTCTATCAAGTATACAGGAATACATGAATAAGTGTATTACATCAATTAATAAATGTTTTACCATAGTCAGTCTTTGCTCTACACAATTGGAGCAGCATGATGTGTGGTTCAGCCGAAGTTATGGGAATATTCCTCAAAGCCTACGCATGCTCACCCCAAAGTGTACACGACATCTACTTTTTACTGTTGATATAAAATATGGATACAACAAACGCAATATTCAGCAACTCATGTAAATGCATACTGTTATTAAATAATTACTTCTAAAAGATTGTTATTATGTCATTTTATACTCGAGTATGAATTCTGCTGCTCGTGGCAATCCATCTGATTGCAAGGAATATTTGATGTTGTCATGCTTAAACTTTCCAATTGTATCTGTAAAAACCGAAGAAAGAAAAAGTTGAGTTTAGCAAGCAAAAAGTCTTTAAAAAGGGATACAAGGTTATGAGTTATTACCGAATAAGTCATCTCCAGCTCTCTTATGAGTATTTGTAATCTCGCTGAAACTTTTTAGTGAGTACAAATCTCTTGGGAATTCCGTCTCTTTTGAAAGATCACGCTCCTTGATCTTTGTGTTCTCCTTGAAATATAGCCTGAAAGGATGTGAAGTAGGCCTGTAATCACCGTTATTAGCCCTTACCTCAAATCGCATCATTCCATAAAGGTCATGCTCCTTAATTTTGTCCTTAAAATTAGAAATATGCGCATTTTCAACCGTTGCTTGTATGCGTGTTCCCTGAATGATCATTAAAAATAAAAACAATTAAAGGACATAAATAAATGAATGACAAAGTTTATTAACTAAACTTTTTCAACTGATCCTTTTTATCCCTTAACACAGGCCTCAACACACCAGATTATTAACATAGGCATTTACATTATGTGTTCATTAACATAGCAGATTCTTACATTGTGAGTGAAATTTGACAGATCATTCTGAAGTCTGATTTAAAAGGCTTATTCTTTCTAGAATATTAACTAATAAGAATCAAAGGAAATTTGACAGACTGTATCTAATACTCTAATAGCATTCAAAATGAATAAAATACTTAGATTATCAATAAATTGTATAACAACCATTTAAAGAATAAAGTAGTTAATGAAGTGTCTTCCAGAAATTCCTTCTATTTGATGCAAATATGTCTTCATTATAGTTTACAGAAGTCCCACAAGAAAGCAATAGCCAGAGCAGTTTTTTATATACAATGAAATACCACTGGTAGTGTTAGCTCCATAAAATAACGTCTAATGTAGATTTAAAACAAATACAATGAGCTTAGCATTTTATAGAACATCACATAGGCAGAACAGATTTTTATATACAATGAAATACCACTGGTAGTGGCAATTGCAGAAATCGGAGAAAAGCACCAAAGCAAATGTAAGGTACACTAAAAAATGAGTAATTAAAAAGAATTTTACCTCCTCATCCATGAGAACCATGTCAATTATGTAAGGTTCAGAGGAATTTCCCTTGTCAGGAACGATCCACTTATGTACGACTCTCAGCAACAGCACACCCTTGTCGTCCAGCTGCGTAGTAACATCCTTCAAAAGGACTTTGAAGGGGGAAGGGGGATTCGGAGCCATTGGAGATCGATTCAATAAGTGGGAAACGAAAGTGAATTGAAGATGATTTTTTTAGGGTGTGATAGATAGATATATATAGTTAGATTTGAGAGATGATAGTTACCGATATTGAGAAGTCTGATGTTGATGGACTCTCTGGAGTTGATCGGATAAATCTGAGTTCGTTGGAAGATAAGCGAGCTTCAATCGATCTAGACTCCAACTTGAAGGAGAAGTCTGAAGTGGGGAGGATTATGTGAGATGAATTAGAGAGGCCCTAATAAGCGAGCCTGATTTTAGGAGAATAGGAGGGTTTCCGTATTTACGAAAATATCCCTAGTCAGTAGGCGGGAACGTGACTTAAGCGGTTTAATATATATATAGATATAGATTTGCAACATAGGAGATGGGCACGTTTTTTAAGAAAGTATGATAAAGTTTCATTTTGCCTATTATGCCCTTATTGCACTGTTGATTATTTACTTTTGTTATAAATGTCTATGTTGTAAAAACCAGACCGGTGAACGACCCGGCCGCGTCACTGGGTCACGGGTCAACCCGGACCCGGCGGGTCAACCCGGTCAACAACAATACATATAATTAATTTATTATATAAAAGCTTAAATTCCTAAATAGAAAAATTATACTCCCTCATAATATTATGATATTGATAATACAATATATGCAATGTCAAAAACATTATATATAGTATTTAAGTATATTGATTTTAACAAAATTAAAAAAAAAATAGGATTTAGATGGATAATACCTATTATAAATTTAAAAAAATTAAAAGACTATATAAATAATTGGAAAGTATAATAATAGTATTGATGTGTATTTAATTATATATTAGTATTTTTGTTATAAATTAATTAATTAATAAACTAATGAATTAGGAGTTAATAAATAATCCCAGGCTGATAGTATAAGAAAAGCTAAACAACCGTTAAGAAAGAGTACCTATTGTAGCACGTTGGTTAGCAGCTTAGCATGTCAAGCAATCCGCGCAAGTTCGAATCTTGTTGGCGACGGATTTTCCGATTTTTTCCAATTTTCCGAGTTACAAACGGTTCGGGTCGTCCCGGGTTCAAGTGGGTCAACGGTTAATACCGGTTTTGATCATATTTGCAGGTCATTGTTCAACCGGACCGGACAGATGGCCAGTTGACCGGGTTCCGGGTCGAACCGGCCGGTCCGGTTTGGGTCTTACAACATAGATAAATGTCTGACAGAGAAACCATGGGTCATTCTCCTTTTATCTTCTTCACCTTTTCATATAATCTCTTTCATCTAGATTCCCTCTTACTTCCATTTCTGTAAATCTGAGGTGAAAGCAGCAACCACCTACCGGTGAATGCTGGTGAGAGCTCCGGATCTAAAATTCGTGGGTAATTAAGCCAGCGTTGGTGGCCGAAGCTAAGGCATCGAATAACTTTAGAGCACCAACAACAATTTTACAACAGATTGAGGTTGTATGGTGACGAGTTATACAATGGTGAGAACGCCAATGGTTGGCGAGTCCTGTTTTCTCCTCTCCCATTGGTGGCCAAGAATTTTTTATATCGTGAGGGAGAAAAAGGTATGGGACCATAGAATGATTTATGACCAAGAAAATCCTTTCGAGATATGGGTGGGTGCAATGTTCTAAAAGGCGCTTGGCGCTAGTCGGGCGCCAGTCCAGCGCCTGGCGGCTAGGCGGGCGCCTAGTCAGGGACTAATCGGAGACATAGAAATTGCGCCTTTATCTATATTTTTGCATAAATATGTTAATTAATACTACATATTTAACAAACATGAATGATAAAAAATCATATTTAATCATACATAATATATAATAACTAATCACTTAATTTCATTGTGTTATAAATATAAATAATAATAAAATTAAGGTATATATATACATTTATCTTAATATACAACTTCATTTCTTTATATTTGTGGCTAAAGTTAAAGTACTTATATCGCTTAGAAAATTAAAATTAAAAAGTAAAATAATGTTCGGTGAATCTAGACGGCCTAGACGTCTGATTAGGCGCTTTGGGCGGGCAACTAGGTGCCATAGGCGGCCGTCTAATTCAGCTAGACGGCAAACCAATTAGTCGGAGCACCTAGGCGAAAATCGGGGCGCCAGGCTACCGCCTAACGCCTAGGCGGGGACTAGTCAGACGCCTAGAACGATTTTTAGAACATAGGGTGGGTATATACGCCTATACGGATGGAATAGGAGAAAGCGATGTGGTTGGCATGGATAATTGAGGGTATTAAAGACAATTACACACTTTTTTATATCTTAACAATAGAAATGTTGCAATTATTATGAAACTTCCTAAAAAGGAAAGTGTTGCTGGTCTACTTCATTATCTTTCTCATAATAGCCCACGACACCGTGATTCACAGCCTGTTTCATACTATCCCCCGTTCGGTTTTATTTGCAACATAGGAGACGAGCACTTTTTTTAAGAAAGTTTGTTAATGTTTCATTTTGCCTATTATGCCCTTATTGCACTGTTGACTATTTACTTTTGTTCTAAATGTCTGACAGAGAAACCATGGGCCGTTCTCCTTTTATCTTCTTCACCTTTTCATATCATCTCTTTCATCTTGTTTTTCTGTTACTTCCATTTCTGTAATCTGAGGTGAAAGCAGCAACAACCTACCATCATCTATGTTGACGCTAAAATATCTGAAAATTAAAGTGTGTGAGCCATAAGCGGTGTAAAGGTCTTGAAATTGACCGGTGAATGCTGTTGAGAGTTCCGGATCTAGAATCCGTGTGTAATCAAGCCGACGTTGGTGACCGAAGCTAAGGCACCGAATAACTTTAGAGCACTGGCGGCAGTTTCACAACAGATTGAGGTTGTACAACGACAGGTTATACAGTGGTGAGAACGTCAATGGTTGGCGAGTCCTATTTTCTCCTCTCCCGTCGGTGGTCAAGAATTTGTTCTATCATGAGGGAGAAAAGGGTATGGGACCATTTATTCATCTTGAAAATCCGGAGTATTTCAAAGAATGATTTATTGCCAAGAAAATCCTTTCAAGATATGGGTGGGTGTATACGGATGGAATAGGAGAGAGATGTGGTTGGCATGGATAATTGAGGGTATTAAAGACAATTGCACACTTTTTTATATCTTAAAATAGAAGTGTTGCAATTATTTTGAAACTTCCCAAAAGGGAAAGTGTTGCTAGGCTACTTCGTTAGTTTTCTCATAGTAACCCCTCCATTTCAAGCCCCCAATTAGGTTTCTCATAATCGCCCCTGCACTTCATTTGTCTGGTAAATAAGAGGCATCTACTTTTAACTTGAAGTTGGTTGTTGGTCTGTTTCATCTAACCAGCTTTAGAGGCGACTGTTTTGGCTTGAAGTTTATGTGAATCAAATTTTTAGACCTAAGCAGGTCGATATCAGTCCTCTGTTTACCTTGCTTCGGATTTTTCAATCTAAAAGACCAATCTTGGACATATCTCTTAATTTGAAAGATAATTGATTATGTTGATGGCATAGAACTTAATTCTCCCCAGACCAAATTAGTATAGATCTTTCAAATGTGCCACACAATGATACCCGACAGATTGTGTCTAAAAGAATCCATCAAAGTTGTGTTTCCCGCTTTGATCCACCAACAGAATCATTAACTATCTATTGGTTCTCTGACTTTGAGTTTGGAGGATACCAACAATTTTCTTGAAGTAATCTCATACCTTTTAAATACATGGGCAAATTATAAATATATATATATATATATGATCAATGGATTCCGAATCCTTTTTTTAAAAAGAGGGGCAACAAGTATGATAAATGGTAATACTAAATCTGTTGTTTACCCGAAATTTGAATCCTTTTTGCCGATTTGGTGTGCAGATTGGACCTCTTTTTAGTTCAAGGACTGAATTGAGCTTGCACGACCAATACAGGAGCCTATTTATCCCTTTCGCCAATCTTTTTTATATATATGAGCTTATCAGCTTACTGCTTTTGTTTGTTTAGTTTTGTTTCAAGAAGATGAGTTCATTGTTAATCTTTTAAGGTAGGCTTAGCTTCCTTTTGAATGATAAATGATTATTTCCTATCATGACCGTTCTTGTGTTTTGAGAATGATGTGCTACATTGCAGAAAAATATTAGCCTATCCATGTGCTAAAAGTGATTCTAAATATAGTATTGGATTCGATATTAGCGCAAAGTAGTTAAATTATGGGGTTAGGTCATGAATATTACTAATTAAAATGATTTGGACAAACATGTGGCCTCTTCTAAAAATTTCCTAAAAAGAAACCATCGGCTAGCTGAATGCCACATATACCCCTTCGGCCCTTTTAAGTTTTAATCACTGCGTATCAATTGATCAAATTAGATAGGCAATACTACTGCCTACGTGTCATTCCTCCTACGACTGCATGCCTTTCCCACTTTTGAAGATTGATAGTGTCACGCCCCAGACCGCGTCTGTGCCACGTGGACAACCGTCGTACAACCCAATAAGAATAACCGCAGTTCATCCTTACCGAATTGCACAAGACGTCCGATAGATACATATGCCAAAACCGATTAGTAAACATACATAACAACATCAACATACAATTCAACACATCGCGGAATATAAGTGTTTAATAAGAACCCACACAAGGGTAAAACAAGAGCTCGCAGGCTCCATTAATTTATAAGTCAAAATAGTTCCATGAGCATTATTTAATTATTTAGAAATAGAACCAGAGGAAGCACGAACCACGTCTTCTCTCCATCGATCTCCCGAGCAACGGGTGCAGGAAGTAAGCTCTAGCTTCAACCTGAAAGGGTGGTTCCCCCGAGGGATCAGTACTACAGAAAAGTACTGGTGAGGGCAAACTGTATGTAATGTAACTAACGTTTCTCACGTGAGACCCTCAAAATAGGGTGATAGTATAATTATGGGCATAACTCTTAGCTACCCCTTTTCAAAACAAAATGTATACATATATACATA